AGAATTCAATTTCGTTAAGCAAACTTACGGAGGCCGAAGGCGCTGTATTGAGACCCATCCTTTTGGATCGACGAAATCTTCCACTTCGGTTATCGCGCCCGGAAGCAAACGAGCAAAAAACAAACGAACAATGCAATCAAGCACATTTTTCCAACCCTGGAAAACCGGATGTTCAAATTTAAATAAAAAATCTTACAGGATATTAAAAAGTCTTACGGATGGCGAATTTGCAAAATCTCAACAAAATGCGTCGTTTTGGAAAAAAAATAGGCCAATTTAACTGCAAACGAATGGATATCAGGCAACAGAATTACAGAGCTTGGACACAAGAAATCTCAAATCTCATCAAAAAACGTACAACAGGGAAAAGCTCTTTGTGCCCGTTTGTCACTCTTATCTCACATTTTCTCCCGCATTCTTGGACTATTCCACCAGTTTCATTATAAGGTTCATTTCCAGAGCTATGCGCCATAGTCTTATATTATTTCGTCTCTCTAAAAGAAAGGAAAACTAACTGAAGGATCTATCTGTTTATTAAAACAAAAGGCAGTACGGGCCTAAAAGACCCTGTGAAGAAAACAAGGGGCCGGAACAGCGGCCCAAAACTTATATAGGGGGAGGGGGTCGTTTTTCATTACAAATTGCCCCTTCCTTCCACTCCCCCTCTCCTTCCCCTACCCTCTCCCTCCCCTCGTCCACTACCCGCCCCTCCCCTCACGCTTCCCACTTCCACGCCCATTAGACGTTTCTGCCCGATATAAAACATTCCAGAACTACCAGAAATAAAAATTTTTACAAAGACAACAAGTAATTAAACGATTGCTGCTTGCTGCATGAGACGGGAGGGGAAGCGAGTGACTGGAAGCACCACCTTAAAACCATCTTATAATTACTGTTCCGTTTTGTGTTATTTTGTGCTAAACCCAGCAAAGAAAATTAGTTTTTCTTTCGAAAATTAATAAGAATCTTTAGAGAAAGTGAAGAAAAAAAAAACAAATTTCTTAAAGATCACTTCTCTGAGAATGTCACCATGCGCATGAACCAACTGAA